CACCATACATTACATCATTAGCATTCTGTTGTATTTTAAGACCAATGCTGTATTGTTTTCCACCAATATCTGTTTATCGCCAGGAGACACCAGCAACCTTCCCTTTCTTTTAACTTTCTCTCTTCAGGTCCGAAGATTCATCAGACAATAATAAGAAGTCTCTAAGGGGGCGCCTCGCTGGCTCAGTGGGTAGAACATGACTCTTGATCCCAGGGTCATGAGTTCAAGCCCCACACTGGGTGTAGAGATTACTTAAAAATAACAAGCTTCCCTTGTCTCCTGGGAGAAAGCATAGTTCTTATTCATTCATCTGGCAAACAATTTCTGAGCTTCAACTGTACAGCAATCCTTTGCTTGTTTTTTGAGAGGCATCAGATAATAATCCCATTTTTCCCCATTTCTGATGAAAGCTTCTTTGGTCCTCTCTCTCTCCCCACAATTGTTTCTTCCCCAAGGCATCACCTAGCCTAGCCTTTTATGTGCACTATTACATGATAGGTGTTTAAAGCAGGGCAGGACAAAATATATTTGATACAAAACAAAACAAAACATGTTTCTCCTCTTAAGTCCGCCAGAGAGCTAATTATAGTTTATGATTCTAAAAGGCAGCTTTAAATTCACTAGTGTTGGCCGTTCGTGGAGCTTGCAGTTCAATAAACAGTTTGTGGTTTGTGTCACGGAAAATACAAAAGGAAAACATCGATAGATTTTTGGCACATCATCTATTTTCAAACAAATTAATAAATCCTCAATGTAATTGTTCAAAGAAAAGCTTCTCTTATACTAGTGGGCTTAAAGGAGCTTCACAGAAACCTTATTGATGTCTTTCTTCTTCTTTATATTATTTATTATTATATTATTTTTAGTTTTCTTCTTGACACCAAAGGAGAAAACCTTGCCAACAATGAGTCTTACAAAGGTGGTACCAGAGATCACTCTTCGGCACCAATATACTTAATTCTGGTCTTCGAGATTTAAATCCTCCTTTCTTTTTCTGTGACATCTAAAAATATTTTTGAGGTATCCAAAGAAACACAATCATTATTTAAAAAATTAGGAAATATCCATTGGTAACATTTTTGTTATAAATGCTTCCAGACTTTTTCTGTGTCTGTGACCATATAATATATGCTTTACATGGATATGAATTACTATATTGTCTTTTGGTCTTTTTAAAAAAGATTTTATTCATTTTTGAGAGAGTGAGCAGGGAGCCTGCCTTGATGTGGGGCTCAATCCCGGGACCCCAAGATCATGACCTGAGCTAAAGGCAGACGCTTAAGCGACTGAGCCACCCAGGTGCCCCTACTATATTGTTTGTTTTTACAAAATCAGAATTATACATACTCTTTGGTAGCCTGCTTTCTTGGCCATTTGATGGAATATTGTTCATTTGACCCTACCTTTAAATAAAAGCAAAGAAAATTGCAGGATTTCCCTTATACCTTTCTTTTAGTAAAAAATCACCTTTACCATTACAAAGTTCACTTTTTAAATAAATAGACTTCTGTCCCATTGTGCTGCTAAAGCTTTACTTTTTTTTTTTTTTAAGATTTTATTTATTTGAGAGAGAGAGAGAAAAAGAGCATGAGCAGAGGGGAGGGGCAGAGAGAGAGGGAGCAGACTCCCCGCTGAGCAGGGAGCCCGATGCGGGGCTCGATGCAGGGCTCGATCCCAGGACCCTGAGATCAGGACCTGAGCCGAAGGCAGATGCTTAACTAATGGAGCCACCCAGGCGCCCCAAAGCTTTACTTCTTAATGCATCATTATTAATATGGCTCAAGAACAGCTATATTACATAGAAATGTAATGCAACATTTTTAAACTCTAAGTTGTAGAGCACACTGCAGAATGATCTGGATCTGTTCTCAGGGCATTTAAGGTGTAATGAGGAACTAGAAAACCATGCAGAATATCTCACCGCAAGGGAGAGTCAGGAAATGCAAACAAAATGATGGGATTCTGAATGAGGCAGCATTCTGGGCCACAGCCGGGGAGATTTCATGCAAGGGGTGAATCTGAGGTGGGTTTTATAGGATGGATGAAGTTCAGCAGAGGGAGTCCTGCGAGAGGGAGAGGGAGAGAAGAGAGAAAACTGATCAGAGAGAAAACATCAGCAAAGACATGTGGAGGCAGAAGAATATGAAGCCTGATTTTCCCACCTGTGAAATCGACAAACATTTTTCACTCGGTGCTAACAAAGGTCAAGTGAGATAAGCGGCATCACTGTTCCCTGGTTGGAGTGTAAATTGGTACCACTTTTATTTCTGGAAAGCACTTTGGGGCACATGCATTGATAGTCTTAGAATGCTCATACTTTGGGGCCTAATAATCCCATTACTGGTGCGATGAGTATAGATGTGGCCAAAAATATATATGCAAGGGTCTGCATCAAGTTGTTCCTCTTAGTCGTGAGAATTGGAGAAAACCCTAAATGTTCAATAGTTTATACAAAATCTGTAATGGTATATAATTTCCAATTTTTCTATCCTGCGCTTTATTAGTCTTTTAATTAGTCTGAGGTAGGCTTTACAGGATGGATGAAGTTCGGGGAATGGAGTAGTCCAGCTGGTCTGGAGCACAGATTGTATTTAAGGAAGTTCTGGGAAGGAAGACAGGAATTGTAGCATGGAGAGCTTCCAGTGGAGGTCACGACGTGTTCACTGGTTGAATACAGTGAAAAAGTCTACAAGGACACCGAGGGAGCTGTGTCAGTAGGGGGGTCAGGGTGCTTTTGATGCTTAGGGGGAGACACTTAAGTACTGTTTTAGGTCCCCTGAGTTGGAGATGTCATCTGGACATCAAGAGGGGCTTCCCAGTACTCAGTTGTGGAGCCCAGAAGAGCAAGCAGGGCTACTCACTCATTTGTCCACTCATGCATTCACTCACTCATTCAATAAACATTGCTTACGCATTTGCTGTATGTCAAGGGCTGTGTGGGGGGTCAAAAGATTCAAAAAGAAGGGGCCTTCCATTTTAGTGGGAATGTGTGGTGGAGGTTGTTGGGAGCGGAGGAGGTGACCAAAGGGAGGGAGTGTGGGAGGGGAAAGCTAAGAACAGAACTGGAGCACTTCCTTGTCCCTCTCAAGGATTTGGCAGCGAGCGAGACAGGCTGGGATCTCAGCACGTCAAGTGATGGGGGTGGGAGGCAGCTGGGACATGGTGGGCTGGGGCTGGGGGTTTGGGGCTCGGCTTTTGGAAGGAATCTTCAGGGAGGATGCACCCTGCCATGCAATAGTGTCCAAAGGGGCAAAGGAGCCTTGGGCCCAGTTCCAGAGGCAGCCGTATCCAAGGGGAGCTGGTGTGAGGGGGGCATTAAAAGCCACAGGAGGTCCAGGTAACCTTCAAAGTCAGGTGGGAGCCTGCTTATTCATGTAATACATTGTGTTGGTTACCACAGAAATAAAACACCACTGGAGAAAGTTTGGAAAACAGAAACAATCTTACGGAATTAAGACGATAGCTATTACTATTTTTGTGCATTTCCTTCCATAGCATAGAGTTTTCACAGTTCTAATGTCAAGGACACACATTCTTTACATCTTGCATTTTTCACTTGAAATTACAGCACACGCGTTTTCTGGGTCGCTACATAGTCTTCATAGTTACTTAAATAAAATTCCATCAAGTAGTACAATAATTTATCCCACTAGTCCCTCACCTTTGGCATTTATTTTTAAAAAATGGATGATAAAGATAAGACTGTAATTAAAATCATTCATGTGTATACATATTCTAGATTATCTCCTTAGGCTGGATTCCCAGAAGTTATGTTAGTAGGTCAAAGAGTAGGAGCAGGATTTTCATGGTTCTTGTCACCTTGTCATTTGTGCTTGCCTCCAGATGGCTGGTTCTCAACCTTCAGATCACCGAAGACACTCCTTTTTCCCAAATTCTTTCCTTTCCTAAATTGGGAAGTCCAGGGCTCAGTATAGTAAAGGTCATTGTAACCAACCTCCCAGAATTTTCCAAGTCAGTGATCTCTCACGTAGCCTTTAGCAGTTAAAATCCCTGGTCAGAAGGGTCAGGAGCCTCAGTGCTGATGCAGAAGTTAAGACACTCAGGTTGCCATGTTGTGCAAACACCACTTAACAACTTAATCATAAATGACTTGCGAGCACTTCTTCCCTACTCCTTCATTCCCGCCCCCCCCCTCCCCGCAACATGCTTCCTTGTATTGAAATGAGGCTAAAGATGACTGATGGAAGAATGTTTGCCCTTCCTCTGGGCTGGGGCTGTGCCCTTCTTGGTGAGGCTCAGCTCAAAAGCCTCCTGCTCTTCCATCCCACGGTGCACACCTCGGGGTGTTGGCTCTACTTCAAAGGCAGAAGAAGTGAGGTGGGTGAAGAAAACACAGATAAAGGCAAAGGATGATAAGGTGGCCATAAATCTCAAAAGTAAGTTTTCTGGCATTATCAATTATCACTCCGTTTCAAATATGCATTTGGAGTGGATATTCCAGTTTTCAGTGTATGTGTGTTTAAAGGCCTTTTAAAGAACTGTGCAATCCTTTATACCCCAACGTGCTGTGTTTGGCATTAAAAAGCTGTCAGGGCTGACTTGTATTTTGGAAGGGGTAAGAGTGGAGGTTCAGGCAAGTATGGGCTGGTTTACTTGTGGGACAGCGCAGTGTGACTCCCACCGGGGACCCGCCCCCAGAGAGAGCCCTGCTCCTCGGAGCCCAAATGCCAGCCAGCAGTCTCGCAAATGCCCAATGTGAGACTCAGAGAGTCTCCGAAAGAAAGGGAAACTGGCTGTATAAAATCTTACGAGTGCTTCCAGCAAAGCCACCCATCCCTTGGCTGTCAAGAACGCCACGTTCGTTGTGTGAGCCTATGGAAATGAGTAACCTGAAAGCATCTATGAGTATCTGTAGGATACGCTGTGTTACACTCTCATCGGTGCTCTTGGCATTTGAGCAGGAAAATCAAGGACGGGAGAGATGGACGCGTGCGTTCGCTTTCTTGCTGACCTGTGGGCTGTATTGCTTGTTCCTGCAGATATAAGCAAAGGCGAGTCCTGCAAGGAGAACTGTACTTGTCCCGCCTGCTCGCTCCGGGCCCCGACCATAAGTGACTTACTCAATGATCAGGACTTACTTGACGTCATCAGGATAAAGCTGGATCCATGTCACCCGACAGTAAAAAACTGGAGGAATTTTGCCAGCAAGTGGGGCATGCCCTATGATGAATTGTGTTTCTTAGAGCAGAGGCCTCAGAGCCCCACCTTGGAGTTCTTGCTGCGGAACAGCCAGAGGCCAGTGGGCCAGCTGATGGAGCTGTGCAGGTTCTACCACAGGGCCGACGTGGAGAAGGTCCTGCACAGGTGGGTGGATGAGGAGTGGCCCAAGAGGGTCCGTGGAGACCACCCCAGGAACTTCTAGACCTCCGCTTCTTCGTACTGGCCTCTTTGGACCTTGAAACAACCACAGGTTGAGGATCAGTTCTTTTTTTTTTTTTTTTTTTTTTAAGAGTTTAGGATAAGGACACGGAACCGTGGACATTGGTTTTCCCCAAAGCTGGTGGTTTTTTTGGAGGGGTAGGTTATGTTTTGGTGGCGGATTTTTGTTTTAGTTTTGCACCTTGGTTTTAATTTAATATTTGAACCTGGAAGCGGGAAAGATACTTTGTAGGCTCCTATAGGGACCGGGGCCAAAGTCTACAATCGGAGTGGATTCATGCCATGATGAAAATAAAATTATCCTCTCCCTTCAATGCTGTGGAAGACTGAAATAAGAACTAAGCTTGTTGATGGCCCCAGTCGATTGTCATCCATGGGATCCTTCATGATGGACAGCACTCCAACAGCTGACAAGAAAACAGCACAGAGAAGTTACCTTGTTTGTTCCTTTTTCGGTCATAAAGTGCTTAGGTGAAGTAGCAGGGTACTGGTGTTATGGGGCCGTACCTTCACACCATATGTGCCATCTCTTTTATGCAAATACTTTGGTAATCTGTGCACTATCAAAAATGTCATTTGCTCAAGCATTTTTGGAAGAAATGCAAAATTGGTGGTGGGAAGAGAGAGTCAGGAATCGGGGGGAATAAGGACCTTGGGCGTGGTGTTTGACAAAGAGAGTACACAAAATGCCCTTTGTTACCCAAGACTTTTTAAAAATTAGTTTAATGTTTACTTTTACATCTTTTATATAAGGCTGAGTGTTTCGCCCCTGAGATCAAGCTCAGTTAAGAAATAAATAAAAATCACCTGGCCCATGGTTGCAACATAACCACTCTTCTAGCACCTACTATCCCAACTGGAAACAGGCCACTTGTAACAAGCACTACATAGCGGTTTAGCCAAGAACCGGGAATCGGTATTAAAATCCAAACTTCAAAGGATTTTAAACCAAATGAAAAATTGGGTCCAAACAATATCTGGTGTTCTTATTTGATGGCTTAAGGGGAGGTAAAGTGTGGAGGATGGGAGGGTTTGTTACTGGAGAGATCCGATATTCTCGATTTTTTGCAGGGTAACAGATACAAGGTAAAGCCTTGGCTTGCTTGACAATTTCATAAAAGCGCTATTTGGTTTTGGCTGTGGGTTCAGACAATTAAGGCACTTCTTTCGGTTTGGTGGGATTCTGTCCACATCCCTGATTAAAATAAGCAAAAATGACAAAGAGCATCGATTGGAGTACAAAAAAGATTAGGATTAACTCAAAAGAAAATTATTTTCTCAACCACTAACAGTTTTCCACGAACAGTTTTAGCGGGTTTTATTAGGTTGCTAATATATACAGTCAGCTTCGCTATCAAATGTAAACTCCAAACTAGCAAAATCTACTACAGAGATTTACTCATCACTTCTCCTCCAGGGTTCATCACACCCAGCTCATCTCACTTGTCTGATTTATCAGATAAATGTCAGGTTTATCACACGATGTATTTAAAGGAGCAGCCGGTAATGTGGAGATTTTTAAAAATAGGTTCTTCTGCAGTTGATGTCCAATGAGGGGGTTGTTAAATAGTTATTGTCAGCCATGCTCCAGGCACTGTACAGAAGTCATTAAAGGGGCTCTAATCTTCTAGGAATTTGATTTTTATGTTCCATGTTCTCATTAAGCTACACGTGACACGCCCCCCCCCCCCATATGTTAGCCCAAAATGTGCTGGGGAAAAATATAGAGGAGCTTTCGGTATTTGTTATTGACAACACTAGGGAAAAGGGTTGTGATTATTCAGTGCGGCATGGTATGGACCCCTAGCAGGGGATGCTGTCACCTTGTGTCCTGCCACCCTTGGGATACAAGGAGGGGATCCCAGCCTGACCAATGTCCTGCTGACCGCTGCCTGGCCAGTGCCACAGAAAATCCCTCCCCTCTCCGTGCTGCTGGGGAACTCCATCTTTGCACAGTACCCTCCTACCCATCTCCATCCTGGCAGAATCGTCACCCCAGCTCAGCACCAGGCTGCAGGGGCTCTGACCAGGTAGAAGCAGGGGGAGAGCCCAGAGGGAGGGAGACGGGAGGGAAAAGCCCTTTGGCTCCCTTTCTTCAGCCAGCTCCTCCTTCCTCCCGCCTCTTGGCCTCTCCCTACCCCCCAGACAGAGACCCAAAACAACAGGTGGTACCTCCAGCCCCAAGCCCAGCCATCATTCCCATGGCGGCGGGGGGGAAGGGGGGTGGGGAGGTCTCCCTTACTTCCAGAGACTTCCTCCGCCTCCAACTCACACAGAACAGAGGTGCAATGGGAAGAAAGAGCCACCTGAGGGAGGAGAGGATTAGAATAATACCACCCTACTACCCTGCCCTCCCTCCCCTCCCCTGCTGCCTCACCAACTTCCCTGGTTTCCCCCCCCCCTTCCCAGCTCACTGTTCCAAGCCACGTTCCAAGCCACTGAGGGCAGGTCACAGACCGCCCTCAGTGGCTTAGAACAGTAGTGGGCGGGGAGGGGGGGGTGCTTCTAAATTTCCATCCAGTAGGGCCACAGCTGCAAATTTTAAAAAATGTTTAAGGTCCTAATATCCCAGATGTTAAATCTGGGAAATAGGTGAAAAATTTTCCCATGGAAACATGGTTATACATGGGGATTAGGTTCTTTGGAACTGTCAGTTCTAGATTTCACAAATTCCTGAATTAAAAGTTTTTTGTAAGCTGGTTTGGGAACACGGGTCCCTGTAGGCACTGCTTCTATGGGACAGATTTCCAAACTCAAACTTCCGATCTCAAAACAGACTTTTTTTTTAACTTTTATTTTATTATATTATATTAGTCACCATACAATACATCATTAGTTTTTGATGTGGTGATCCATGATTGTTTTTGTATAACACCCAGTGCTCCATTCAGTACATGCCCTCCTTAATACCCATCACCAGGCTAACCAACCCCCCTCCCCCCTCCCCTCTAGAACCCTCAGTTTGTTTCTCAGAGTCCATAGTCTCTCATGGTTCGTCTTCAAAATGGACTTTCAATGGAATTTATCATTATATGTATTTTGAACATGGCTATTGTTCCTAAGTGTCTGTGGAACTGACCTTTGAGTTGGATCAAAAATGCGAAGACAGAATTCAGGGGATTCGGGTACAGGTGGAGCGGAGTGGACTCCTTTACTGTCAAATTCCGGAATCCAGGAAAAGCGCATGACCACAGAGTCCCACCCCTCATCTCCCCATTTGGCATCATTGCTTCCAAAGTCCTCATTGCTAATAATTTCCCATCCTGGCTATGAAAGCTTAAAATTCCCATTTATAATTGCATGGGGGCAGTGCCAGGGTAGGCGGGTTTTTTTTTTTAAATAGGGGAGTTGACATGACCATGCTGTTTGAATTTGACTCTACCATTATTTGCACCTACTGACATCTCTTATCGATTATCATTTACCTTATGAAAAGTTTCAATTATTAGAAGTATGATATTAGCAGAGAGAAATTTAGCCCAAAGTTTTTTTTTTTAATTCAAATTCATTTGGACTCTAGGCTTCGATTAAATGTAGGGTGACTTTTGTCTCTGTTACATTCAGGCATAGCAAAGAGTAATCCTCGACGGAAATAGAACCAGAACACAATTGCATAATAACCCGAAATACTTTTTAAGTTAATTTTCAGCAAATAAATACTGTAACAGTGGGGCGCCGGGGTGGCTCAGTCAGTTAAGCGTTGGACTCTTTTTTTTTTTTAATTTTTTTTTTTAAGATTATTTATTTGAGAGAGCGAGAATGAGAGAGAGCACATGAGAGGGGGGAGGGTCAGAGGGAGAAGCAGACTCCCTGCCGAGCAGGGAGCCCGATGCGGGACTCGATCCAGGGACTCCAGGATCATGACCTGAGCCGAAGGCAGTTGCTTAACCAACTGAGCCACCCAGGCGCCCTAAGCGTTGGACTCTTGATTTCGACTCAGTTCGTGATCTCATGAGTCATGGGATCAAGCCCCGTGTGGGGCTCCACGCTCAGCGGGAGTCTGCGTGAAGAGTCTTTCCCTCTGCCCCTCCCCCGAGTCGTTCTCTTTCTCTGTTTCTCTACAATAAATAAATCTTTAGCACAAATACCGTAACAGCATAAATATGGGAATGGAAAGGAAGGAAATCACTGAATGATTAATTGATGAAATAACTGTTAAAATGTAAGTTCATTAATACGTAAGAGTTTTTCTCATTATGTGTTCCTAGGGATCTTGGTTAAATTGACCATGCTGTGAATGAAACAGCTTATGATGAGGTCCTTTTGCCATCGGAAAGATGAAATCACTTTAGCTGCGTTCCAGGATATAGCCTTTCAAATAGCACTCGCATACTGCAGTGTTACACAGCGAGGCTTTATGCTATGAACGCAATGTATTTGCTTGCAAATGTGAGAAAGGGGAACAAAGCTGCAATAAACACCACGCACACACAAGACACATACACACGGAGGAAGACTCGCCAGAGAGACTCAAACAAGCCACGCTTTCCTTCAGTTGTAAGGTTTAAAATGGTTAGGGCTTCAGTTGTTTGCCACGATTGCCCACTGATATTTCTAGACACCCCGTGTGGACAAGGCACCCATTTTGGCGGCACCAAACAACAGTCATTCAACAACATAGAAAATTTGCCGGACTAGACAAAAAGATGGTACGGCTCAGGTTCTCCTCGAGAGTAATTTTTATGCGGTACTGCCCTCTGCTGGAGTATAAAAGCAGCACACACATCCTTTCTGGTTTGGGGGCCGTCCTAAGACCAGCCCAGAACCAACCTTGTATTCATTATAGGTGGTGGTGTAGAACCCTTACAGGTAGGCCCGATAAAAGATGGCAAGAGCCCAGTTATTTTCCAAATTGAGAAGCAGAACGAGGCCGGCATAACTGAGATGAGGGTCCAGGAGCCCCTTTATCCATGTCAGTTGGGTGACCAGTCTGCTCTACGAACAGGTCCATGCTCTGGGAATTAAGTCAGTAAGACTTTTCCTCCATGTAGTTCTAGAGTTAGCTATCTGTGGATGTTAGGTGTTTCTCCCTTTTGACTTAGCGACGCTCTTTCATATTCAGGGAAGTGGCCGTGAGCAACAGTGGGTTTCGTGTAAAAGGCAAAGGGATTGCTCTCCCTGAGTTACAGCAGACGCCAACCACGAGCACAAGCTTTCTTCTTCCTCTATAAGTTATAGTATAAAAATACGTGCTTTTAAATACAACATTCACAACTAAAGCCTAGCAGATTCTCTTTCCCTTTCTTTTCTATTTATTTAAGATTTTATTTATTTATTTGACAGAGAGACAGCGAGAGAGGGAACATAAGCAGGGGGAGAGGGAGAGGGAGAAGCAGGCTTCCTGCCGAGCAGGGAGCCCGATGCGGGGCTCGATCTCAGGACCCTGGGATCATGACCTGAGCTGAAGGCAGACGCTCAACGACTGAGCCACCCAGGCGCCTCTCACTTTCTTTTTTAAAGCAATAGATGTTTCATTTAGTTTTGAACCAAGACCACATCCTCCTTTCCTCCTTCTAACATTCTCCACTTCTGCCCTTCCTGTTCTATACTTTTCCTCTCCTTGGAGTCCATGTTTCTGCTTTGTATTGCTTACCTTAGAGCTGTTCACTTGTTTCTGAGTCATATTTCCTCGCTGTGCCCATGGCCCTCTCCCTCCTAGCTACGGACTAACATCTGCTTTCTTTGTTCACTTACATATGCAGGAACAATTTGTTGGATCATTTTTCATATTTAATGACACTTTGGGCCTAATAATGTTAAAACCTTTTCCTACCCTTGTAACTGAAACATACATAACTACACATCGCCCAAAGAAGTGATGAGAAACGTTCACCCTAATTTGTTGCATGATTTCCTGCTTGGGAATTCAGACTCACCCTTGAAGTCTGTGCACTTGGGTATAAATGGATGAGGGCAAGTCTTGCTTCCCGAGTGTGTCGAGAAGCTAAACCATGTGCTGGGCCCACTGGAGCCTTGGGGTGAGTGGGTGCCACAGCTGGAGAGTGCTCGGCACTCGAAGCCCACAGCAGACGAGAGCCTGTTCTCTTTTCTCCTGGGGCTGTGCTTTGCTGAGGATGCCTCGTAGAAACCAACTCCACAGATTGAACTGAAATGATCAGTCAACAGTGCAACTTGAGATGAAATGACTGAGTTTACTAACTCTTTGGAAATGTAAAAAAAAAAAAAAAAAAAGAGGGCGGAGCAAGATGGCAGAGGAATAGGAGACCTGGATTTCGTCTCCTCTTAGGAACTCAGCTGGATAGGGATCAAACCATTCTGAGCACCTATGAACTCAACAGGAGATCGAAGAAAAGAAGAGCAACAACTCTCTGAACAGAAAAGCGACCATTTCCTGGAAGGTAGGAGGTGCGGAGAAGTGAATCCGAGGCGATATTCGGGATAGACGGCGGGGGAGGGGGCCTCCTTTGGCCGCTTCTGGCAAGTGATTCGACTTTTAGAAGTCGGCTCCCGCTGAGGGACGTCACTCCAGTGGCTAAGTGGGGGGTGGAA